TCTTCTTCTTTCTCCTTCTCCTCCTCTCATTCTTCTTCTTCTTCTTCCTCTTCCTCTTCCTCTTCCTCTTCCTCTTCCTCTTCCTCTTCCTCTTCTTCTTCTATTTTTTCCAACATCTAGATCATCAAGCATGTTCCACGTCATGAAACATGGACATTACAGTTCTCGGTTTGGCAGCAAGCCTGGTTTGCAGTGCATTGGCATGCATGAAAATGGCATCATTTTCAACAATAATCCAACTCTCTGGAAAGAGATCCGTCCATATTTCACAAAGGGTAAATATATCGAGTTGGGTCTTCCCACTGTAACTCTGCCTTCAGATGTGTTCTAAACCAAAGTGTATAAGGAGAATAAGAAAGAGAAAGAATATTATAGGGTTGAAGCAAACCTGATAGATAGACTTTGGAGCATGGTTAGTTGTACCATTAGGTAAAGTGAAATAGCAGCAAGTTAGACCTAGACTGCAGGACAAAAATCTAATTTTTTTTTGTTTTATAAGGAAGGAGAGACCAGTTGCCGATTCAAGCATAACAGGTCTTCAAGATACTCAAGTGGGTCACAACAGCTTTTCTTTCTTCTTGTGATTAAAGCAAGGCTGTATAATTAGATGATTACTAGCTGGCCTGTTTGTAGGTAGACATGTTTGTATGAATAGAAGAGAATATTTGTAGCTCAGGGTTGAACTGTAATCTCTGAATTTGGTTGTTTTCTTGCAAATGTTTCATTACCCAACATCCTCAGTGCTAAAAGGGTTATCTCAGACCTCCCTCCCTTCTAGCACTGATGGTGTTATCTAGCTGGGTAATGAAATGCCTGCAAGAAAACAACCAAGCTCAGAGAGCAACAGGGACTGCTCAAATATGCCTGTTTTATTATTTTTGATTTAAAATTCCATTGCATACCAAGATTGTTCTATTAGGGATGAAAATATGTCCTTTTTCCTAACCCAGGCAGCAATCTCTTGTCACCCGTTGAGTGTCAGTTAACCACAAGCAGCAAATCTATCTTTCTATAAATAGAATCGAATCGAATCGAATCGAATCGAATCGAATCGAATAGAATAGAATAGAACAGAACAGAACAGAATGGAATAGAATAGAATTCTTTATTGACCAAGGGTGATTGGACTCAGAAGGAATTTGTCTTGGTGCAAATGCTCTCAGTGTACATAAAAGAAAAGATACATTTGTCAAGAGTCAAGAATCATCAGGCGCAACACTGAATAATAGTCATAGGGTACAATAAACAATCAAATCATACTAGGAAACAGTCCATATAAATTGTAAGGATACAATCGACAAAGTTACAGTCATACAGTCACAAGTGGGAGGGGATGGGTGATAAGGAGTGATGAGAAGAGTAATAGTAATAGTAGTGCAGACTTTGTAAACAGAAAGCCAGAGAGAGAAAAATAATCAAGACAATTGTAAAATTTCAGCCCTTTCTGGACCGGGTCTTGTACGGATGATAGCCATCTGTGTCGAATCAACAATTGCACATCTAGACCTGTTGGAGAAACAGACCACCGAGTTGGAACATGTCAACACCCTGAACCTTATGAGACGCATCATGCTTGACACTTCCAACAAGCTTTTTCTTGGCATCCCTCTTGATGGTAATATACCTGTCCTATTTTCTCACAGGGTCCTCTGAATGCTTCTTTAACCAAAACTTCAGAAGACAAAAGCAGCAGGACATTCATTGAGTATGCAATGAATACAGGGTGCTTGTTGGGAAAGTCAAAAAAAAAACACAATAGATCGGAGGAGGAATCATTCTGTTTTAGGATGTATGGATAGTGGTTGCTCCTGAGATAGCTTCTGGCCTGCAAGAGACTTCTTTGGTGTCGAATTCCTTTGTAAACCTTGGAAAAGATGGCCAGGATTGGCAAAAACAATTGTCATGATAGACAAAAAAATAAAGTCTGGAGCGCAACCCTATAGACTTGATCAATATAACATTACTGTTCTTTTTCAAACTTGGACTCATAATCTGGGCTCAGGAAATATCTCGTTCTTGTACTTTCAGAACATGCCATTGTGCTCAAAATCCAGAACTACTTCGATGCTTGGCAAGCTCTTCTCCTGAAACCTGACATTTTCTTTAAGTTCTCCTGGTTCTACAAGAAGTACGAGAAGTCTGCGTAAGTGGCACGTGTGCATTCGTGGATCAGGCTGCCTATAGATCAGGGGTGTCAAACTGGATTTCATTGAGGGCCGCATCACAGTTGTGTTGGACATAAGGGGGGTGGGTGGGGGTGGCCGGGGGGGCGTGGCCAGTTCGACATCACTCGTGTTGGGGGCATCTGTGGTGAGGGGATCCTTTTGCCAGCCCCCTGCCAGAGAAAACGGAGCTTGGGACGGCTGGCAAAGGGCTGCAGGAGGCTGTCGTGGCTGAAAAGGGCTGTATTCACTGGCCCCACAGTCCAGTCCTTCGCAATTTCCAGGGTGGTCCTGCAGGCCAGATCCAAGCACCCCATGGGCTGAATCCAGCCCCCGGGCCTTGAGTTTGACACCCCTGCTATAGATCTTGTTCACTCCAGCGATAGAAAAGGAAGATTCTGCTCATAGATCATTGAATTCTTTATTGGCCAAGTGTGATTGGACACCCAAGGAATTTGTTTTGGTGCAAATGCCCTGTCTGTGTACATCAAAGAAAAGATACATTCGTCAAGAGTCAAGAATCATCAGGTCCAACACTTAATAATAGTTATATTATCTGTGGAGATTCTCAGTCGTCCAGGTCATGGCTGTCCTCCCAAAAAAGGACTTTTGAGACAACAGAATCAGTGGTGGGATTCAATATTTTTTACTACTGGCTCTGTGGGCGTGGCTTGGTGAGTGTGCCTTGGTGGGCGTGGCAGGGGAAGAATACTGTAAAATCCCCATTCCCTCCCCGCTCCTGGGGGAAGGTTACTGCAAAATCCTCAATCCCTTCTCACCCCACTAACCTGCTTTACAGCTCCGTTCTCCTGTGCAGGGCCACAAAAGAAGACCCAACCAATCAGCTAGGACTCAATGGGAGGCAGAGAATAGGTGGGGGCGGAGCCAGTCAGAGGTGGGATTTGCCGGTTCTCTGAACTACTCAAAATTTCCGCTACCGGTTCTCCAGAACTGATCAGAAACGGCTGAATGCCCACCTCTGAACAATATGTTTCATTTCTCATCCAAGAAACTTCTCCAATTTGATGGCAGAGGAAATGGAAGGATAGATATTGAGAGTTGTGACAGGATGGTGGAGAAGAGGAATGGAAGGATTGTATTACTTTACGGTCATCTGGTCGTTAGCTCTCTCTTGACCTCAGGGTCACCTGAATCAACCGATTCAGGTCAAGAGAGGCTAACGACTAGATGACCACAAAGAAATGCAACCCTTCCATATCCCTCCACCACTTCCTCTAATCCACTCTCAACTGTCGGTATCTATCCTTCCATTTCCTCCATCATCACCTATTGATGAAGTTTCTTGGATGAGCATTTTGTTCTTTTTCCTCAAAGGAAAAAAAAACAATCCAGTTGCCTTTTGAAGAAAAAAAAGCACCTTTGCGTACCGATTTCATTCCATTTCTTACGTTCACAACTTATTATTTCATGTTGTCCTGTTTCAGTATTAATGTGTGAACTCGGGAGGGAAAATATCCATAATAAATATATATATATTTCCGAGCCAGAGGTGGTATTCAGCCGGTTCTGACCAGTTCTGGAGAACCGGTAGCGGAAATTTTGAGTCGTTCGGAGAACCGGCAAATACTGCCTCCGACTGGGCCCAGCGAACCCCATCTATTCTCCGCCTCCTGAGTCCCAGCTGATCGACTGGGTCTTCTTTGGTTGCCCTGCACAGGAGAACAGAGCTGGAAAGCAGGTTAGTGGGTGGGGAGGAAATGGGGATTTTGCAATAACCTTTCCCCAGGAGTGGGGTGGGAATGGAGATTTTACAGTAACCCTCAGAGGTGGTATTCAGCAGGTTCTGACCAGTTCTGGAGAACCGGTAGCAGAAATTTTGAGTCGTTCGGAGAAACCAGCAAATCCCACCTCTGACTGGAGATTTTACAGTATCCTTCCCCTGCCATGCCCACCAAGCCACGTCCATGGAATCAGTAGTAAAGAATGTTAAATCCCATCACTGTTCCGGGCGTATTTTTCCAAAATACGGCCTCATCGCTGGATGAAGGGATGAAGCAGAACATTCAATGATATTTAGTGATGCACCGAAAGGATTTCTCCTTTTTTCAGAAAAGATCTGAAAGAAAGCATCGAGACCTTAATTGAACAGAAACGACAGAAGCTCTGCACCACTGATAAGCTGGAGGAACACATGGATTTTGCTTCAGAGTTGATTTTTGCCCAGGTAATCTGGATCGTATTTTCTATCTTTCCAACACTGGGGAACAATAACAGTAACAATAACAATTATCAACTTTTTATACGAGGCAAAAAGTAGTTCTTGACTTATGACTTATGACCGGTTGCCTAGCAACTGTTTGAAGTTCTGACAGGCCTACCTGGGGGTTGCTTACAACCTGGATTTGAAGTTCGGATGGTCAGCCCCGCCCCTGAGGTCATGTGACACTTCAGGCATTCGGAAAGATGGCCACATTTACAGTGGTTGGTTTGCAGTGTCCCGCGGTCATGTGACTGATTTTAATGCCATTTTATGCCCCCCCCCCCAAAAAAATAGCATTTTACCCCTGGCTTTCAGCGAAACCACACTCACGCCAAGCCCTCCGTTCACTTCAAGATTTCAGATTCGCTTAACGAATGTGATGAATCACTTAACAACCCCTGCCGAAAAAGTCTTGAAATTCAGTTTTACAACCCTTGTGAGTGACGGCTGTGACGGGTGGGCTCCGTTATTGTGGCAACTTGAAGACTAGCCTGTCTTCCGTAGTGCCAGTGTAGATCAAGTAGAACTATTTCATACGATCTTGTACCTGATCCTTTTAACTGGAGGTACCATGATTGATTTTGTGACTGCCTATTGTAGTGGGGGGTCTAGTCTTGGCCACTTTAAGATCTGTGAACTTCAACTCCCAGAATTCCCTAGCCAGCCATGTTGGCTGGGGAATTCTGGGAGTTGAAGTCCACAAGCCTTGAAGTAATCAAGGTTGTTCATCTCTGGCCTATTGTTTCTGTTGCAAGGCAAATTGCTCTACTGGGTTCAGCTTTCCAACGTTACAACATCACATCGCACTAACGGGAGTCTAGTGTAGCGATAGCAACAGCACTTAAGACTTATATACCACTTCACAGTGCTTTACAGCCCTCTCTAAGCAGTTTACAGAGTCAGCCTGTTGCCCCCGACAATCTGGGTCCTCATTTTACTGACCTCGGAAGGATGGAAGGCTGAGTCCACCTTGCACTGGTGAGACTCGAACTGCCAAACTGTAGGCAGCCAGCAGGCAGCAGAAGTAGCCTGCAGTGCTACAGGCTAACCACTTCTCCACCGGAGTTCAATAAACTTAAGACTGACACACACAGTCCTGCCTGCTTCGATTTTTGCAGGACCGCGGTGAGCTGACCGGCGAAAATGTGAACCAGTGTGTCCTGGAGATGCTCATCGCTGCCCCCGATACAATGTCCGTGACCCTCTTCTTCATGCTGGTGCTGATTGCAGAGCACCCTCAGGTGGAAGAGGCCATGGTGAAGGAAATAGACACGGTGATGGGTACGTATCTGGTGACATCCGGCTCTCAAGGAAATACACACCTCCTTGAAGTAGCTTCCATTTTAACAATCTTTTAATCTGCACAGCTGAACGTTTTAATTATTATCGTTTTACTTGTTTTATTACTTGGAAGCCATCCAGAGTCACCTTGTTGGGAAGATGGGTGGCATAATAAACAGACAGACAGACAGATAGATACTATAGAGAGAGAGATACCATAGAGAGAGATTAGGTTAGGTTAGGTTAGGTTAGGTTAGGTTAGGTTAGGTTAGGTT